GCTAGGCTAGCACTCTCCCTCTGAGCCACAACACCAGCCTGATTCCTGCATACTTTCTCCTGATGCTGAGTCAGATAAACTGATTTCTCATCCCTTTGACAGGCTTCTTGAGGAACTTCCCATTTTCTCTAGGGCCACACCACTAACAAAATGTTACAAGGTTCTTTTCTGTAACAGTAATAACTATAATTATGCTTGATTATTTTTTTCTCTTTAAGGATGTTATTGGGAATAAATCTGACAATTATAAAAAAAAAAAACGCCAGCATCTTCCATACCTAAAATATCCTATTTTATGGATATTTTTATAATTGTAAGATTTTTAAATCATATGATTTCTAAATATTTGCATAAAAATTCTATTTTAACTACATTACATAATGCCAAAGTTTACATAGATAAAAGAGTGCACTCATAATATTTGAAATAAAATAAAAATGGATCTAATACTTTTTAAATCATATGATTCAATAAGACTCAAATTAAATTAGGTAATTATATAAGAATAAACTATCTTTATTCTTTATATGTGTGTGTGTGTGTGTGTGTATATATTCCAGTTGCTTAAATAATCTATAATCTTTAATTCATAGGATAATTAACATATATGTCTATTTGCTTCTAACAATTTTTTCCTCAACAGGAAACACATAATTTATGTTTTTATGCATGCATTTACTTGATGCTCTGCCTTTTACCGTTAGATATATTCAAGAGAAATGTAGTCTATTATATAAATTATATCTGTCTCCATATTCACCTTGCTTATGGACATAACCCATGCTCTCATGATGCTATGACCCCTGAAATTTTCATTGGTAATATTTTAACTTTCAGGAAAGGTGATATTCAAAAAGGGATCTCTGGCATTCAACTGTGGCCTCATTTTCTCCATCCTGCAAATGGCCCCATTTCTAATTTTATGGGCAGGAATCACAAGAAGGGTTCCTATTGTGGCCTGTAAACCTATATTTAATCCTCTTATGTTTTAATTATTGGAGGCAAAAATGAAGATAGTTTATTCTTATATAAATTATAAATTGTAAAAGATGTAATCTAATTAAGTTAATTTTCTTAATAATTTGGCTCAAGGTATTTCTAAAGTCCTGTACAATTAGGTAAATATTGATAAGAGTTTGCAACTGAACTAAATATTCTAGAACTCATTATTATAGATATCAATAATAAGCTTTCTGCTCTCAAATGCTAACAAAGACTTAAATGCCATGCTAATATAAGTATGCCTGTATTACTGTAACCAAAATTCATGTTTCCCAAAATTTGGAAAAAATTAAAAATCATCTAATGGATATTTGATGGAACAATAATAATAGCCTAGATCTTTTGGAGTTACATCTTCACATCAGGGTATTCAAAAGCGAAATCGATCTTTTGGATCCCACTTCTCTAGCTGATCAAATGCTTCAAGAATTTAATGGCCTTAATCCTGGAAACATGCTGAAACAGTCTGCATGGTATGTTATTGGACTGTTATCTATGCTACTAATTCTCTATTGTATTGTGATGATAGGATGTCGCATCCTCAGAACAAGATTCTGAGAATTTAAAACTGTAAAACCACGATGCAAAGAAAAGAACACCGACTCCAATTTTAAATCAAATTAAAGCAAGCTTGTAATTCCGACTAGCCAGGATTGTCCCTCTCCTGAAACCCGTGGGATAGAAGACTACTCCGGCTCTCTAGGAGTGCAGCTTTATAGCACAGAAAGTTGTAAAAAGAGGGGAGTGTCTTGAGAACTTACAGATAACAGGATTTTGACAAGCATAATACAAAGACAGGTAGTAGGTTAATGGTCTAAATGGTTCAGCACTTAGGGAGTAAATTTAGATCCCAACATCAGAATTTTTGAGGCGCTATTAGGGTTTCAGAGAGAGTTGTTATGTGGTCAGGGAAAGCCAGAATTTATGAGGCGCCACTAAGTTTTCAGAGAGGGTTTTTATCTGGTCAGGGAAAAGCAGGCATGGGTGAGTTCAAGGCACGGGCAGGCATTCCAAGTAAGTTTAAAACATCAAAATATGGCCAGGTGAAATAGAAATCCTAATATTTTACAGAAAACAGAAATGAATCTTTTATAACTTTTGACAAGATGGCTCCTAATCTTAAGAGGGAATTAGGCTGGGTTTATCAAAAACAGCAGCTCATCATTTGCAAAGTAAAAAGAAGGAATATGTGGTACACCACCCATGACGCTACTTTAGTGTTCTTTTACTCAGTACTGGCCCATGGAACTTAGGTCTCCACTTGGGAAGGATCCCAGCATTCCTGTGTGTAGACTGCCCAGGGAGTCTGGGAGATCTGCCCTGCTCTACCAGGGGGACAGCTTTCCTAGCTCCAGACTTGGGTGTGACCCATTAAGCTTGGGCAGCCCACCTCCTCCTTATTTAGCAAATAACATTCCATTGAAATCCTTCTGAAGCCTCCTTGTATAAATAAAGAAAACACAAACCACAGTTCTCAAGCACTCTCTCCTTCCAGTGTGGAAACAGGACCCCTAGGGTCCCACCCTTACTTTTTAAAAGTATTTCTGAGTCTTGTGATTTTTCACCATATTTCTCAGCCAGCACATTTTGCACAAGGAAAACCCAAATTTCAAAGCCTGTGTGGGATGCAGGAGAGAAGTATAAGAATCAAGAGACAGGCTCTTGCAAAGTTGCTGAGGCTGGCCTCAAATTTGCAATCCTCCTGGCTCAGCCTCCCAAGTGACTGAGATAAAAACTGTGAGGCACCACACCCAGCATATTTCATACATTTATGCTATAAAAAAAAGATTTTTAATGCCTCCAATGTCCTACCCACATCCAGCGAGAGTAGTGGGAATGGGGTTCCTCTTGGTGGAATGAGCTGGCTGCAGAATGAAAGCTAAAAAAGGTAGGGCAGGACAAAACAAAAACAGAAGGTGATTTTAAAAGTGGGGGCAGGACAGGCTAGCAGATCTCAGGGATCAAGCTTCCACACTGAAATGAGTCAAGTGGAGCCCGCACTTGCTTTATGTATATCAGGGAATATCAAAGGTTTTCCATGGAATGTTCTTTGCCAAATAAGGTAGAGGTGGGCTGTCCAGTTCCCAATGAGTCACGCCCAACTCCAGAGCTACCAGAGCGTCCTCCTCGTAGAGTGGAGATAGCGGGATAGTTCCCAAGGAAAAACCTAAATCTCCATGGCTCGATTCCGAGTGAAGACCCTCAAGTAATTCATGGAAGTGAAATTTGTATATATTTATATATTTTTATATATGGATCTTGTATCCTACACACTTAATAAACTCATTTATTAGTTCTAATAGCATTTTGTGCTATTAGAGTTCCACCAGAGTTTCTGCACTGAAAAGTGCGTCATCTGTGAGTAACAATAGTTTCTGCTCCTTCCACGTATTGCACTTTTCTGAGTGGCCTGGCTAGAACTCCCATTGGCGTGCTACGAATGAGTGCTGGGAAGACACCTGCTCTTAGGGCAAAGCATTCAGTCTTTCACCATTATGTCAGATGTCACTTATAGGTCCTTTATAGACGGCCTTTGTCATGTTGAGGACGTTCCTTTCTATTCTGAGATTGGCAAGAGGGCTTGCTTTGTTTTGATTATTTTTCTCTTTTGGGAATGGATATTGTATCTTTTCAAAAATTTTCTGAATGCATTAGGATAATTGTGGGAGGCCAAAGTAGCACGTGACTAAGTCCGTCTCCCCTTCTGATTGGTGTGGCATCGTGGGTCAACCCAGCCAATAGCCCCAATCTTTAGGGTCTGAGCGACTGTGTCTCTTGCATGGGCGTGCCTTCCTACATCCCCACGGGTGGAGCTATGCTCACCTGTTCCTTTGTAATATCACCCCTTTCCCTGTTTGGGATAGAATGTTCCATGGAAACACCTTTTGTGTGTCCCCTTCTCTTACTGTGCCCTTGGGTGGGGCCTACCCAGGTGTCAGTCAACCTGCTGACAGTGGACATCTGAAGCTGGACTCAGCCCCCTGAAACCTGACCCCTTGCCTTATTTGAATGGCTTCTCATCAATAAAAGAGGTCAGCACGTGTTCTCTCTCTTTCTGCGGACCCTTAAGGTCAGAGGAGCCGTCACAGGGAGCCCATAGAAAAAGGTAACTCTGTCTCTTGTGTGTTTATTTCACACGGCCCAGTTAGCCCAGTTCCCCTGGAGTGACCCCTGAGTGTTTGTCTCGAGCAACCCGGCAAATGGCGTCCCTGGGTGGGCAAAAAGTCTGAGTGTTTAAGTCGCCAGGAAAGCGACAGATAATGATATTGGGTTTTATCTTGAGTTTTTTAATATTGGAGATTATATTAGTTTTGTTAAAGCAACTACTTTCCTGAAATAAACTCCACTTGGTCCTTTTACTATATAATTGGATTCAATTAGTTAAAATTTGGTAGTGTTTGTTTGTTTATTTGGTAGTATTGGAGATGACCCAGGGGTGCTTTACCACTGAGCTACACTCCAGGTCTCTTTATTTTTTATTTTGGTTCAGGGTCTCACTAGGTGGCTGAGGCTGGCCTTGAATTTGCCATCATCCCAAGCCACTGGGATTATAGGCATATGCCACCATATCCAGCTAAAATTCGGTTTTGAAAATGTTTGCACATTTGCAAAGAACTCATATTCAGAACTGATACACAACTCCTACGGTGCAGTAAAAGACAACCAACCAACAAAACGTGGACAAGAGGCTCAAAGTCAAAAAAACACCCAGCAAAAAGATGCTCCCAGGTGACCATTTGTGGGCACTGACAGGGCCACCCAACAAAGAAGGCACACCCATGGGTTCAGCATAGAGGGCACGCTCACAACCATCCATGAGGGCCAACAGGTCCATCTTCCCGGGTTTTGTCCACATCCTTTCAGACTCCCTGCCAACCTCTCCCTGCCAATGACCTCTTCCACCTGCACTTTCAGCATCTCTAAGGCAGGGACAGTGGTGCTTTTCTTAATGGGACCTGGCCCCGTCCGTCAAGGCCTCCGGCCGCCGGAGACCCGAACTACGTTTCCCAGAAGGCGTCGCGGTGCGGGCCGCCGCCTTCCGGGAGGGGCCGTCCATCTCCGCCTCCAGCCAGAGAGCGCTCGGCGCCCAGCCCCCGGCTCCAGGCTCCGCAGTCGCAGCGCCCCCGGCGGTGGGCGGGGCCTCGGGGCGGGGCCAGCCCAGGGGAGCGCCCACCTCCGCGGCGCCGGTGCGCGGAGCTCCTCGGCGGTGGGCCGCGGGTTCGATCCCGGGCGGAGCTGTTTTGCGTTTTCAGCTCACGACACTGTTCGGTGAAGCGCTCCCGGCATCTGGGTTCTCTAGAGAGTCACTTGGAGTGAGGAGCCACCCCCCCCGCCCCCGGGCGAGGAGGTGCCTGCCCCCCAGAAGCCTCCAGGCAAGTGCCCCCCCGCCCCCTCCCAAGGATCCTCCAGGCTAGTGCCCCCGGGCAAGGATCCTCCAGGCGGGGTGTCCCCAGGTGAGGTACCCCCGCAAACCAGTCCAGGTCCTGCACGAGGTGCAGTGCCAGTCGTGTCCCCCGAAGTCGCTGAGGTTCTTCCATGAGGTTTCAGAATTTGGGAGGACAGAGAGCGTCCGTATCCCCACGGACGCATGGCCAGTGCTCCCAGCTACCTGCCACTTTGATCATTTGAAAAGGAATCTCCAAATCCATACCGCTTACCGACTGTGTGAAATCTCCAGATAAGGACCACTTTCTAACATAGCCATAATCCCATAATAGGCACTAAAAAAATTAAAACCTGCTTTATTTACATCATTAACTATCTGGTATTCCGACATGTCATTATCTCATTTTAATAGTTTTTTAAAATCAGGATAAAATGAAAATCCACACTTTGTGATTATCATTCTGTTTTAGTACTGCCATTACTGAGATATAATTCACACCCTACAATTCATGAGTTTTAAGTATGCAATTTAATGTTTTTTTGTATATTCACAGTTGTGCAAAACCACCAAAATGAATTTTATGATTTCATTACCCCAGAAATAAATGCTGCACCCCTTAGTCATTACCCCCGCCCCGGGAAGCCTGTTTGGTTTGAATGCTTCTCCAGACCTTCATTTACACCTTTCGTCTGTTTTCATTTCTCCCGGGTTCCGCCCAGGAGTGGAATTACCAGGTAAGTCTACACTTAACCTTTCAAGGAAGTGACAGACGGGTTTCCATTCTGCATTGGCACCAACAGACTCCCACATCCTCCCACGTGCTTCCTCCTCACTTCACTGCCCTTTCCAAACATTTTTAATCATGAAAATTTTGAGCACTACCTACAAAGAGGACCGTCCAGGACTGACCAGGTGCCCACCCTAAATCCAACAGTCATCAGTACCTTGCCTGTGTGCCTCACTTCTCTCTTGACCATTAAGTCTCTGGATCCTCACAGAAATGATGAGCCCCAGACACGCAGCCCTGGTGTCTTCTGTGAAGACGGGTTCTAGAGGCTTCGTGGAGCTGGCCTGCAGGAACACCTCCTCCAGGGCACCTGACCCTGCCTTTCCCGCTGAGCCCCGTGCCCTTGCCTCAGCCAGGCCAGGGTGTTCTGCTCAGGCCTCAGCAAGATGAAGTAGCACTTGGGGATGAAGACTCCCCCCAGAAGCCCTGAAGTGGAGGCCAGGATGGAGAAGGTCTCCACGGCCACAGTGGACTTGCCCCGGGCACTGTGGTACAGGGGCAGAAGGCTATCCAGACCCTGCAGAGCAGCAGCATGCTGAAGGTCAGGGACTGGGCCTCATTGAAGGCATCAGGCAGACCTACACATTATGGACTACTCAGGCCAGGTGCAGCTTCAGAACTGCAATTCTGAACACCATGGAGTCCCATAGGATAGGCACAGCCTGAGAACTGCTGTTCTAAACACCATGGAGTCACTCAGGGCAGGCAAGTCTGAGAACTGCTGTTCTGTACACCATGGAGTCACTCAGGGGAGAAGCAGCCTAATAAGTGCTATTCTACACACCCTGGATGCCGCAGTCTGGCTGGGCACAATTCAGGAGCCACTTGTCAAAAGAAACGAACTTTATTTTTAGAACCACAGCCAAACAAAACAGCTCCTCAGGAAAACCCTCAAAGCCCAACTGCCACCACCCGCTTCCCACCAGCCTCTCCACTTCCTCCACCCCTCCTGCTCTTGAGGCTGATTGGCTGGGTCGCATGGGTGGAGTCAAAAAAGTCCCCCAATGAGCAGCTCCGTGGTCTGAAAGGGCGGGGAAACAGCCCAATGAGCATCACCGCAGAGGAGCCAATCAGCCGGCAGCTGGAAGTTTGCTGGGGCCCCTTCGGCTGTGGCTCTCAACAGTCTCTGCCTTGAATCCCACTTGAAAGAGTGACTCCTTCCAGCATAGCCACACCCACGCAGTGTTTGGGAGATGCTGAACTAACAGGTGCCTGATAGTTATCTGAAATTCAAACTTGCACAAAGCACACGTATGCAAAGGTCATACATTGCTGGTCAAAACTCCAAATTCGGGACATGCTATGAAGTCTTTTGCTGTTTACCTAGAATGTGCTCCACTGGGATCCTGTGTCTGCTAAAGGGAGCAACCCCACAGTGATGTGCCTCACCTGCAGCAGGGTGACAGCAGGGACTCTGGCACCCTGTCCAGTGCTCCTGCTAGGATGCAGACCACAGGCATTGAGCTGGGCAGCGTGGATTCTGCTCGGCCTCTGTAGCTTGGCACAGTGAGCGCCCCAGCCTCCACCCCTCCCTCTCACCTGCCAGGGCAGGAAGTGCCCAGAGTCTGCACACGTCCCATCCCAGGGCTCACAGGCCACCAGGTCCTGCAGGGCATGGGCGATGCTGTAGACGGCCGTGTATGCGGTGTCCGCTTTACTCACTTTCCAGAAAGAATACTCCTGGCTTCGCAGACTTTCGTTCCCTGAGCAGAGCCGGACAACCCTTGCCACTGTGCCATTCTTGTGGGGCCACGTGCACCCAAAAGTGTCCTCCCAGAACCTCTGTATGAACATGTCCTCTGGGGTCCAGCTGGGGTGCAGGTGAGCCAAGAACTCGGGGAAGCCAGGCACCCGGCTGCTGTGAAACATGAGGCCGAAGGAGCCCTGCAAGACCTGGGAGACGCCCGGCACATTGAGGGCCATGGCCAGGTGCAGAGTGCCCTTGCTGACCCAGACTTGGCCCGAGACCCGAAGACCCAGCAGCCCCTGCAAGATGAGCAGGAAATTTGAGTTGCTCAGGAAAACCAGAACTACTCTGCATCCTCTGGACAATGGTGGCTGTCTTCTCCAGGGACTGCTGGGAAGGGACGTAGAGCTGGACCTCAATGCAGACGCCAGCCTGGCTCAGCTCCTGGGCAGCCAGAGAGCTGGCCTGCTGCCCAAAGTCATCATCCTGGGCCAGAATGTCCACCCAGGTCCATCGAAAGGGGAGCACCAGCTGGGTCACCGCATAGGAGGATGTGGGGTCACTGGCCAGGGTCCGAAGGGAGGATGGGAACTGGGTCTTGTCGCTGAGGATGGGCAGTGTGGATGAATAACTGACCTGAAGGGCAGTGGGAAAGTGCAGATGAGAACCAGGACTCGGGCTCAGGCCCTCAGATTTGAACTGCAGAAGGTGGACACCCTGACAGAGAAGGAGTGGCCAGTTCGCCCCCAGTTGCCCTGGACAAGTTTCCCAGTTTTGTCGCCAGAAGCATTTTGATGCTCTCAGAAGCGTCGCCTGAGCACACAGGGCAGCTGGTCACCCAAGTTGGAGCACAGCTGGGTGCAGTCATCTCCTAAGAAACATGAGTGGCAGCTGCCAGACGGCTCAGCCCCAGCATCTCCCATGCTAACGGGGGTCTTGGGGTTTGGGGGCTGGTTGGGAAGGAGGTCCTGGAGTCTGTACCTCTGTCTCCCAGTCAGTTATGGCCCTTGGTATGCACCTGTGCAAGCACTGAGCCGCTTGTCTCAAGTGGGTGACCTGTGTGCCAGGAATCGCATCTCAATCCCCATCATGAGGTGAAAAGACGAGGTGGCACGTGGAAGTGCCACTAGAGTGGGACTCGGAAAGGCGGTGGTGAGTGACGCTGTGGCATGAGTCCAGGGTTTGCCTGGCCTCAAACCCTGGCTCCTGGACCTGCAGGCTGGGTGAGCACGGCCCCTATTGCTCCTCCTCTGATCCTCAGCTTCCTCCGCTGTGCGGGGCAGGGGCAGCACCGTCAGCACCAGCCCAGTCAGCACAGACTCGCTGCCGGGGAGAGGCTCTGGGGAGACTCACCTGGGGAAACCTGGAGAGCCCCAGCAGCCTGGCCATGGAGATCGTCAGGACTGACCGCGTATCCCCCACCACGGCCACCCAGGGCAGGCTGAGTCCACAGGCATAGTTGGGGATGGGCTCCTCCTGCCCGGTGAGAAAGCTCAGCGTCTCCAACAGGGCTCCGTGCACCGAGTCCCCAGAGTTGCGGATGGAGAAGCCCAGGGTCAGGTTGGGCAGCAGGTGGACGCTCCTGTTGATCTCCTCGATGGCAAAAACAAAGCCCTGGGCCACCCGGTAGCCCCACAGGGACACACTGAGGAAAAGAAGCCCATGTTTATGGCTGGCCACAGGGCAGGAAGCGGCTCCTGGGCGTAGGGCAGAGGACAGGGACATGCACCTTCCAGGAAACCAGCACAGGCCCCCTGGATGGCCTCCTCAGGACAGCTGCAGGGCAGGGCAGGAGAGGTCCAAGCCCAGAGCACTGCAGGGTGATCACATAGAGCCAACCAATGTGTTTCAAAGTCTCCAGGAAAGCGCCTTTAAATGTCCACCTCACCAAAGGCGGGATCAGAGGGCTAAGCGCAGTCATGCCATGGTGGACACTAGGGCAGCACACCCCAGGGGACCCACACATGCACAGATAACCCTCCCCAACAACAGAAGCCACGGCGAGAACAACTGGGGGTCTCTTCATTTCCAGTGACAAGGCAAATGCGTGCAGTTATTTTGGGAAACAATTTGGCAATTTTCTTCTTTTTCTAGTTCTCAGAAGGGAGCCCAGCGGTGGGCCACCACTGACCCACATCCCAGCCCTTTCTGCGTTTGCTTTTGAGGCAGGGTCTCGCTCAGGTGCCCAGGATGGCTGGGAACTGCCTCCTGCAGACTCAGCTCCCGGCTGCTGGGATCACAGGCGAACGCCCCCAAACCCGGGGACAGGCATCTTAGCGACCTAAACATGCACATGTTCAAACACAGCAAAAGGGCTGCGCTGGGATCAGGGGCATCCAAGCACAGACGAGGTGCAGACACACAGGCCAGGGGACCACAGGTGCTGCCAGCTCATGAGGAGATGAGCAGGCCACAGGGACAGTGCGTCACAGCACTCCAAGGCTGAGGGGAGGCCCTGCTGAACACGGCGGGGCGAAGGCCGTGTCTTACCTGTGGCACACACCAGGACAGCAGTGGCACAGCAGCCCACAAACCACAGCTGGGCACTCTAGACAAGGGACATGCTGAGGAGGTCCCCAGGGGACCACCCACCAGCACTGGACACACACACAGGACAGACCCTGAGGAAGGCCCTAGGGGACCACCCACCAGCACTGGACATAAGCAGGACAGACCCTGAGGAAGGACCTAGGGGACCACCCACCAACACTGGACACACACACAGGACAGACCCTGAGGAAGGCCCTAGGGGGTCACCCACCAGCACTGGACACACAGGACCACCCTTCTGGAGTCCCCCAAAAGTCTCCTTGGCCATCAGGGACTCCCCACCCAGCACCCCAGCACCTACTGTGAAGATGGCAGCCCACAGGGGCAGAAGTAAAATTGAATAGGGTGACATCGTGGAGACGGAAGATGGAGGAGCTACCCCCCACACACCACATCCCCTGGACGGTCAGAACGGGAGCCCCTGCCTGGCGATCGCCAGCTTATTGGCCCATGAAGTGTGACCCTGGAGAGAGTCCACGAGGGCAGGGAGCAGGGCCCACAGCCACATGCCCGCAGGGGGACGGGATGGCCAGTGCCACAGCAGCCCACGTGTGGAACTGTGCCTGGCGATGACAGCCCTTTGGTCTGGGAATCTGCCCTGGACCAGGCACCTGGGGCTGGAGGCCCATCCGGCTCTGCGGGCCTCCCGGCCACGGGGTGGGCAGGCGCCCTGAGCCACTGACCCCAGCCCGACTGCAAGTTTCACCTTCTTCCCTGGGCTCCGGGCCCCGCGCCAGGGCACAGCTCTGGGAGCCCTCTGTGGGTCCTCACGGCGTCCTGAGGGACTGCAGGCCCCGGTCCCTAGGACAGTGCTTTGCAGAGAGACCCCAGGAGACAAAGAGCCCTGACCCAGGAGCCGCAGGCTGTGGCACTTGGAGGGGGCGGTCCCGAGCTGAGTGGCCAGGGCCAGCCGGCAGGAGCAGGGCCCCTGCAGCCTGACTCTGGGGTCAGGGCCCAGGTCCAGGCGGGAGGAGCGAGGCTGGGACCAAGGGTGGCCGGCGGCCTGCGGCTCTGCAGAAGGAAAGCTCTCAGCCACCGCGGCCGCCAGGGACAGCCCCCCGTGAGGCCGGTTCCCCCGCAGGGTGCGGCGGGCTGTGGTTCGCGGGAAACCTGGGCCCTGGCCGGCCGCGGCGGGCGTGTACCATGGCCGCGCGTGTCCTCCAACAGCGGCCGAGTCGCGCTCCCCGGGCCCTTCCCGGTGCACGGGGCGGGACGGCAGCGCTGCGGAGCGCCGCGAGGGGGCGCGCTGCAAGCCTCCGCGGGAGCCGCCGGCGCCGGTGTCGCCCTGTGCCACGCGGCAACGGCCACCTACGCCGACCGCGTTGCCCCGCAGCGTCCAGAACAGGCAGCTCCGCAGGGACAGGGCGCGGCAGTGGTGGCCAGAGGCTGCAGGGGACGCTGGGGGCCATGGGGTGATGGCGCCCCGCGGGGAACAGGTAGGAGCCCCGCGGCACAACTCGACTCAGCCGAGCCCGGGACGAGGGTCGCGGGTTCAAGTCTGCGCGCCACCTGCGAGTCCCCAGACTCCACCACTGACCCTCTGCCGCCCGCCGGAAGCCGTGCTGACACGACATGGAGTCACACGTTCTCACATGTCACCAGGGCCAATGCTCTAGGGACCCTAGGTGCCTCCCACGGTGACAGCGCACTGCGGCCAGCCACCAGGGCCAGGAGAGCAGCACGGCACCTCGGGGACTCTGGTGACACCTCCCCCACAGAACTTCAAGGGATACTTGTGATGCCTGTCACACAGCACCTCAGGGGACACTAGGGACGCCTGTCACACAGCACCTCAGAGGACACTAGGGACACCTGTCACACAGCACCTCAGGGGAAACTTGTAATGCCTGTCACAGCACCTCAGAGGACACTCACAATACCTGTCACACAGCACCTCAGGGGACATTCATGATGCCTGTCACAGCACATCAGGGGACACTCACAATGCCTTTCACCCAGAACCTCAGGGGACATTAGGGACACCTGTCACACAGCTCTCAGGGGACACTTGTGAAGTCTGTCACACAGCTCTCAGGGGACACTTGTGAAGTCTGTCACACAACTCCTCAGGGGACACTAGGGACGTCTGTCACACAGCTCCTCAGGGGACACTAGGACACCTGTCACATAGCACTTGTGATGCCTGTCACAGAACCTCAGGGGACACTCACAATGCCTGAGGACACTGGGGACACCTGTCACACAGCTCTTCAGAGGACACATGAAACCTATCAGCTCCTCAGGGGGCACTAGGTAAGCCTGTCACACAGCACCTCAGGGGACACTAGGTACACCTGTCACACAGCACCTCAGGGGACACTAGTTATGCCTGTCACACAGCTCCTCAGGGGTTCTCACAATGCCTGTCACAGTACCTCAGGAGACACTGGTGATGCCTGTTAACCAGCACCTCAGGGGACATTCATAACACCTGTCACAGCAGCAGGAGGTGCTACATACCTCAGTACTACACAGTTCCGTGCCACTGACGTGACACTACATCTCACGTCCGTCCACACTTCCCCAGGCTGGGCTGCTGCATGCCCAGCCTGTAGGTGTCTCTGTGCAGAGTTTGACAACTTCTCATTCTTTATAATAGATTCGTATATATTCTTGATAATGGATAATAAAAGACCATTTAATCTAATATTCAATACATTCATGACACCTTCCTCTAATTTTTTTCAATATTTCTAGACTACAGGGTTCATCTTTGAGTTTTTCCAAATTGTCAAAAATATCCCAAACACACACACACACACACACACACACACACACACACACACGAAAACCCCTGTGTAAGTGGACCTGTGCATTTCAAACCCAAATTGTCAGGGATCCACCATATGCCAAAACGTTGAACTGCACGCTTAGTTAACTTGACGGTACGTGAATTTGTAAATCAGCTTTAAAAGCAGAATGACTGCTTGCTGGGGTCTGGGAGGGCCAGAAACGGGCTTGTTTTGAGTGAATTTTATCTCCATGAAGCTGTCGTGATGCAGAGAGACAGAGGGGAGACAGTACAGCTCACCACCTTGGGAAAACGCCACAGGGGAACAGCCTGGGGGCACTGGCCACCGCGGAGCGGGCAGAGGCATGGACTCACATCCACACAGGGGGCAGCACACAGGGCCCACGGAGCTGCTACTTCGGCCACAGAGGGTACACTTTACAATTGAGAGGCTGTCTGCATTCAGGCTGTCCCAACTTGGCACAACTGATGTTTTGCACCAAATCACTCTTTGTGGTCAAGCTTTTTCCACTCTGTGGGCTGTTGTAGCAGCCTCCTGAGGGGGTAAGTCTGGCATTGAGATGCAGGTGGACCTCCCCCTTAAGCTCTGCCAAAGATCCCACACAGCACCTGAGATGGGTGTGACCTGCCAAGATGCCAATCAACCTGCTGACTGCAAGATGTCACAAGCAAGACTCCGCCCTTGAAACCTGATCCCTGCCTTTGATGGACCCCCTTTAATAAACCACCAGAGGCATTTTGTCTTTGTCCAGTTCCAGAACCCACGTGGACTAGATCTATCAGGGGCTTCGCATTCCATAAATGTATTTCTGAGTATATGTGCTTTGTTATTTACTGAATATTTGAGACTGTAATTCTTAGGGTGGTTTGGGTCATCCTGGGCAGGAAGGACCCCTTAATGAGACACTGGCCATCATCCCCCCATAGGGGCTGACTAGTGTAATATAGAATGTTTAGCAGGATTTCTGGGCTCAATCAGGTGACACCAAAATGACCCCTTGTCCTTACCACGTCCGTCTCCAGACACTGCCAAATGTTGTGGGGCAGAGTGGAAAACTGGCCCCAAATGAGGACCAGAAGATCTCCCCATGGGTTGGAATCTGTGCGGAAAGGCACAGGCCAGTGGCTGAGGTGCAGCTGTGCTCAGCAGTTCTGGGGTGCTTAGCATGTTCTCACAGCTGCCCAGCCATCACCACAATCTCACTCCAGAACACACTCGCCACCCAAAACAAGCCCATTTCTTGCCCTCCCAGACCCCAGCAAGCAGTCATTCTGTTTTTAGTTGATTTATTTTTGAAACTGGGCTTTTGAGTTAGACTTCATTTGGGATAAAGTTTTTTGCTGCTTACAAAAAGTTTGCAAATCTTTGTCTGGCACTAGGCTACCTCCCAATGGATCTAGGATTCAGGTGGCCTCTGATGGCTGGTGTCTTTCGACTCTAGAGACAAACTAAATTGATAGGGACAGTTCCAAGTGGCTCAGACACATGAATGCACAAATGAGCCATCATGGGCCTGAAGGGCCACGCCGATTTTAACTACCAAGAAAACAAACCAGGGGACCCATGCCACTCCAAGTGCTCATTTGTAGGAAGGAGAATAATGAGCTCTTGGCACCCTACTTCTTTCTTCCCACCTGTGGCTTTTACACGCAGTGAGTGGTGTGTATAATACTCCAGGGGCCAGCAGCCAGCTCGAGGGGTACGGGGCACAGCCCTGAGCATCCAGCGAAGGCAGCCAGTCCCCATCCCTCTAGGAATTCCCATTTCCAGGCCTTTACACTTCCTGCAAGTCTCTTCTGTGCTTACTGACAGGAGCCAGCCACACTGTGGCCTCTGGAAAGGTCAAGGCCCCATGAGTCCACTCACTGGTATGATCTCTCAGGGCCCGGAAGGCACTGTCTACCTGGGCGTTTGCTAGCAGCTCCTGGTGGATGCTCAGGCTCCAATCCAACCTCTGCAGGGGCGTTCCCAGCTCCTTCCCCACTCACACCCTCCACACTGGGCAGCTCAGTCCCAGCTCGGTCCCAGAGCCAGGGAGCCTCCCTGAATCCTTTCCTCAGGTCTCATTAAACCGCACTTTTCAAGTGAATCACTCTTGAGTATATGTGCTATATTTATAGCACTGGGACCATACCGTGATATACTATTAGTATTTAAAAACAGATTCCGTGTTGGAGTCAGCATAAGAGCTTTCCAAACATGTGGGGCGATCCGGTGAGACACACTAGTGTCAGTGTGCAGTAGCAGTGTTTAGCATAAGCCTGTCTCCACTGCAGAGCGCGGCTCATCTGAACCTCGAGTCTAGGCTGGCACTGTCTTGGACTTTTTTAACTCTCTTCTGGCCCTTACTTACAGAGTATATTAAATGACTTACATAAAATATTCCTTCTTTTCCACATACGGAGTGGTCACAGCCAGGCGCTAAGCAACTCAGCGAGACCCTGTCTCTAAATAAAACACGTCAGGGGCTGGGGAGGGGGCTCAGGGGTTAAGCGCCCTGGGATCCAATCCCCGGTTCGCCGTGGGCCTGGAATTTGAGTTTAACTGGCTCTGCCGGTTCATGGCTGCGTCTACCCACTGCTATGGGACAGATCACCGGGCTGGTGTGACTCAAAGAGCCGAATCTGGAACACCCCGGCCCTCCGGTCACCTGCAGCCCAGGTCCCGCCGCGAAGCTGGCTAACCCGGGGCCCACGGCGCACGGGGACCGCGCTGGCGGCGCCGGGAGCATCCTTCTGCGGCCGCGAGACGCCTTCCACGGCCACCGAATGGGGGGTCGGAATTGCGCGGGGGCGTGGCGCGCACTCGGCTCTGGGGGCGCTGGCCGCCGGGTGTGCCTCCGGGAGGACGTGGGATACCCCGCGCCCCCGGGCCCAGCTGGTCTGAGGCCCCACACCCCTGGCTGCCGCCACCACGCCCCACGCAGCCTGCAGTCTGTCACTGACCCACAGCCCCGCCCCTGGGCTGCCCGCTGCACCTGCCCGGGGGGTCCCTCTCACAGCTAGAGAGCTCCCTGGCCTTTCCCCATCAGGCCGCCTGCACCCGCCACCCGCCAACCACAGCGCCTTCCGCCAGGTGCGCCCTGCACCCCTCGGCCCGGGGCCCTGGAGAGCGCCGAGGCTGTGGGTGGTACATCCTTCCCTGAGCACCGGAGAGCAGACCTTAGGGCACAGGAAACTGCTTGCAGCTGTGAAATGCGTCCTTTTCCAAAACAGAACATATCCAAGGACTGCTATAGGGTAAGCGTATTTTTCCTGTGGCCCCTTGCAGAGGTGACTAGGCTTATGAACTGGGCAGGGTGTAGGTGGCCGGGCAGTAGGCGCCTCTGCACCTCCTTCTCCCTGCTTGTAAACCCACCCACCAGAGCCTCGGAACAGTGACAAGCACAGCAGACATTCCAGGAGAGAAAGCCACATGTGCCCCTTGTGTTGACCACGTCAGCGTTTTCCCATGTTGACCACCATCCTCATGAAGTTATTACAGATTGGCATTAAATGTGGTATTTTGTTGTTTCTTCCGTGGTGATGGTCACATGTGATCACACATGTGATCTGGAGGAGACAGAGAATAGTGAAGAACACAAAGCTCATGGTTGGCCGCCCAGGACCTTTGGGAAGACACTCTTCCATATCCCTTTTTCTCCAGAACCTCATTCTGCACTTGGCATATTTAGTCCTCAGAGGGTTTGACGCTGTGTATTTTCGTACAGTTGAATATTATTATGTGATGGGGTGGGGAGTATCGATCCCACCAAGCTCCACTTTTGGGTACTTCGTAGTGAATCTTGATGCCTAAATCCTTATCCATATTTTGAATAAATTCCACACTGCAAACTTCTGGTACATTTTCTTTTGTTTGGGTACTGGATATTGAACCCAGGGGCACTTAACCACTGGCCACATCTCCCAACCCTTTTTAATTTTTATTTTGAGACAGAGTCTCACTAAGTTGCTCATGGCCTTGCTGAGGCTGGCTTTGAATTTGTGATCCCCCTGCTTCAGCCTCCCGCACCACTGTGGCAAGCTCTTGATATACAAGTCTCTGTAGTGCTTTCCAGAAAGGCCTTGCCTAGGGTGGGGTGCAAATCCCTCTCAGGGAATCAGGGTGATTGTGGGAGACCGAAGGTCTTCAACCATCACAGAACCCCAGCGTCTTGAGAATGCTCATCAGAGCCACAGGGAAGACAAGGATCAGACTCACTCACTCCCAGACCCTGTGGCTCTGATGAGCATTCTCAAGACGCTGGGGTAACCATCTGGGTCACCGACTTCATGAAGCACCAGAATACCCACTTTAAGGAGGGGCCCTTCCTGTATCCCTAGTGTGATAACTTCCTACACAGCTCCATCCTCAAAGGAATACAAGACCCACCTGCCAGTTGGCGTAGTGGTACACAGATATAATCCTAGCAACTCAGGAGGCTGAGGCAGGAGGATCACAATTTTGACGTCACTGCATGCAACTTAGCAAGACCTTACCTCAAAATAAAAACTAAAAAGAGCTAGGGATGTAACTAGGTGGTAGAATGCCCTGGGTTCCTTATACCCACCCACCCATCCCCCCAAAGAGAGAGGCACTGTCTTACCATGTTGCCCCAGGCTGGCTCAGAACTCCTGGGCTCGAGGAATCCTTCAGCCTCCATCTCCTGAGTAGCTGGGACTATGGTGTACCCCTCTGTTCTCAGCTTGCCCCTGGTCTTCATTTCATTATAGATATCACAGAAGGAGGTGAAGGCAAAAGCATGGGAGGACAGCTCCAACCGTGGAGGATGTAGCAGGACGGCTACCTTGCCATCCTCCAGTCAGGCCAGCCAAGCCAGTCACCTGGGAACTTGGCCGTTTGGAACTTTTTCCTTCTTAGAATGTACAAGGCACCTTTAAAGAAAAACCAGCATGTTTGTCTTTGTTTTTATCAGTGTGTTGATTGTGAGAAATCATCTTTTCATCATTACCCTTGTTTTAGGGCTTAGGAAATGTAAAGTCTTTAACTCTAGTGTGAACCAGCCAAACTTTTTCAAGTGTCTGCTTGTAAAGAAAACATAACCAGATAGGGCTTTTTTTCTGGAACAACAGGAATTCTTATCATCTATTTTCAGAGTTGTTTCACTCCAAGAAAAAAAATCACCTTGTTTTGAAACTTTTTCTCAGCTTCAAATCCAGCTTGCAAGTCTTGAGTAATGGGAAACCAAGTGCCCTCTCTTAAAAAGGGCAAGAGCCTGGAGCTCCGCTTGGTTTTCTTAGACCCCCCCACCACTCCTGGATGTGTGATGTATACTGGAGAGAATGAGAAGCTCTCTGCTCATGTGTTCACTGCTGCACCGCGGGCCTGGTGCGTGGCAGGCTCTGGTGAATGTTCAGAAGATGATGATCAGTAAGGAAGGTACATCAGCTTTGAAGATTATGCTGCTGTTCAAATGCAGTTTGATAATTACATAGCAAAGTGTAAAACATGCAAAATGTCAGCATCTTGCACGTGATGCATTTTATACCATGTAATAAGAAGAGCCTGGGAACCCTGCACGGCGGGGTCATCTGTTGGGCTTTTGGGGAAAGCTTCTGTTGTAAAATGTGAGAGCGGTTATTAATCACCGCTCTGCTTCACCACCTTGAAGCCCAAGGTCCCGTTTCCAGTACGAAGCCGAACGCAGGCGCTCGGGGAGTTCGCCGGGCGGGCCGACTGTGGTCGCCCTGCCAAATGCCCTCCAGCCAACCTAGTCCTGGGGTTGGCCATCCCTGGGAAAGGGCGGATGGCTCCAGGATGGGAACTCCAGGCCCGGCCTCAGACTAAAATACACCAGCGGAGGCGCGCGGCTTTCGCGCGCGGCCCTCTGGGAGTAGTAGTTCGACGCCCTTCCGCGCAAGCGCAGTTAAGGCTGGCGGAAGCCAGAGCGTCGAGGGAGCGTGGGGCGGGAGGGCTTCCAGCGGAGAGGTGGCCTGAGCACAGAGTCGATGGGAAGCCTGCCGCCTTCTGGGAGTTGTAGTTCAGCGTCCACCCGCCTGTACAGGGGGAGTCCCTCTCGGTGTGGACAGCGACCTTAGAAAGTGGAAGAAGAGGAATTAGCCTGTGTGGGTCAGAGACGTGGCGCTCGGATCCCGAGTCTTGCTGTCGTTACTGGACGGTCCCGGGTAGGTCTCGGCCAGCCCTGAAGGTACCGGAAGTGCGCGCGGGTCTCTGGGAGATGTAGTCTGACGCTCGCGGGCGCAGGCGCAGTCACGGGTGGTGGCGGCCACGGCCTTTATGGTGCCTGTCCGCAGTGAGTGGGAGGCCCAACCGGCCTGGGCCTGCGAGCCTTCCCTGAGGTCCTGGCCGGGCGGCGTCGGCCCGCGCGCGCGTGTGTCGTCCGTTCCGCCTCCTCAGGCTTGGGCGTCGTTTCGGGGCTGGCAGGGCCTGGACCGGGCTTGGGCCACAGGCCGGAGCCCTCTGCGACGCGTTAGCCGGACCCGCAGCCCCCTGCCCCGGGACGCTCTGTGGAGGGGATGGCGTAGGCCGAGCCCCGACCGCGAGGCCATCCTGGAGCCCGCCCTTCCTGAGCGGCTTCTGCCCCCAAGGGGAGAGGGGGGACACCGGGAGCCCGCGATTTTAGCCCCAGTCTGGGACCCAGAAAGCAAACCGGGGCGCGCCGCCGGGGTCAGCCCGTACACCGACAGCGCGACCCCGCTGCCGACCCCCGGGGCCCGCGCGCCGCGGTGGGAAGCCCGGCTTCGCCTCTGCCCCGCAGCGCCCGGGGCGGGCGAGGAGGAGGAAGCCCCGGTGCCCGGCCTGCGGGGCTAGGGAGGCGCCTCTCACCTAGGGCCCTGGCACGGGCCTCTGCGGGGCGCTCCCCAGAGCAGACTTCCCGCCCAGAGCAGCAGCCCTCGCCGGTTTACCGGGGCCCTTAATTCCTACAGTCCCCATCATGGCCTTCTAAGAGGGAAACTGAGGCACACCAACGGGGGCCGGGGGACCCGAGCTGTTGGGCTTCCTGTCAGTAAAGCTCCTCCTGGAAATGACCTGTGCAGCCTCTCTGGAGAATGTGCCCACCCTGCCCGCGGTTTCCCTATGCGGAGTGGGCAGGACAGGGCAGAGAGCACCCTCCACAGCACCAGTGCTGGGCCCCAGCGTCCCACGTCCCACAGCCAGACCTTTTACCTGCACCCAAGAGCTTTAGGCTTGGCATCTCTGGTCACTGCAGAAACCACCCAGAGCTGGACCTGACTGTTCCCGCAAGAGGCCAGAAACACGGGGAATGGCTGCTGGGCTCCTCATCACCAGGGCGGGGGTAGGTACGCTTCTGTCCTCTCAGGGCCCCACCTCGGAAGCCTGTTGTGCCTCAGCCTGTGCCCTGTCATTCCCCTGCCAGGAGGGCACTCCAGCCAGCTCCACCTCTCTCCCCAGCTGCCTCCTCACCTGTAACGGCAAACCTGAGGCCACGGAGTTCATGGCCAGCACAGACCTTCCGGCTCCTAGTTGTGGTGCAAGAAGGTTAGGTTAAGGTGCTCGTAGTCTGGAGATTCTGATTCCAAGTTGGCACCTTGAATGTGGCCAGCTCTGTGGGGAAAAGAGCTCCAGGGCAGGAGCAGAAACACAGAGACCTTTCCTGATGGCCCTAATCCTACCCACAAGCCTGCTGGGAGGAACTAGCCTCTCTGGGGAGTATTGGAAAACACATGGAAGGGTGTGATAACCACAGGAATTGCCCCACGAACCCCACCTTTTCTGAAGACCATGCAGTTACCCTAATGTTTAAGTGCCCGAAATTGAAGAGTGGGGTCCTGCTGGAAAGGGATTTTCCCAGACCCTCCAGATTGGGTCAGTGCAGAGAACTTAGTTGCAACGGGGAATTGTAACCTAAGATGTGAGGTTAACTAGTGGGATTGTTCTGATACCAACTCTGAGACTTTTCTCCAAATTGTTGGAAGACAGGTGAGAGGCTGTTCCTACACCAATGAGGAACAGGCCATAGGAAACTCTGACCCCAACCTCCAGACCCCATCTAGCCCAGCTGTTGTTCCCATTCACCACCTGCCCCCACCAGCAGTTAGTGCCAGGTTTGACTCAGCTGAGGACACTCAAGTGACCTTCGAGGACATGGTTGTGGATTTCACCCAGGAGGAGTGGGGGCAACTAGAGCCTGCCCAGAGGACCCTGTACCATGATGGGATGCTGGAGACCTTCACACTGCTGGTCTCTGTAGGTAAGGCCACACCCATGTCCTCAGTGGTCTTCAGACACAACAGTCACTTCTCCTGTGTTAAAAATGGGGCTAGGAGGGCTGGGGGTGTGGCTCAGTGGTAGAGTGTTTGCCTAGCATGTGAGAGGCACTGGGTTCAATTCTCAGCACCACACATAAATAAATAAAGATCTGTCAATAACTAATAAAGTGTTTTGGGAAAAAAAAATGGGCCTAGGACTTGGTTTTGTTTTCTTTTCCCTTTGAAAAGATTGAACCCCGGTGTGCTCTACCACTGATCTACATCCCCAGCCCTTTTATGTTTCCTTTTGACACAGGGTCTCACTAACTTGCTGAGACTGGCCTCAAACCTGTATCCTCCTGCCTTAGCCTCTTGAGTGGCTGACATGACAGGTGTGCACCACCTCTCCTGGCTAGGGCTCAGCTTTAAAAGCAATCCTTGGGCTATATCTTGAGTTTCAGGAACTTGACTTTTTTAGTGTAGAGAATATCAAATAGGATTAATATCAACAGGTTACAGACCCAACCTGAAATCACGAGAAGCCGAGAAATGGGCTGAGTCTTTCAGTGGTGCTCTTGGGAGCTCCTCACTCGGCCTTCTGTGTCTTCGTCTGTCTTCATCTGGTTGGGCTGCTCTACCAAAACACCTTTGACTGGGTAATTTATAAACAGTAGAAACGTGTTGCTACAATTCTGTAGTCTGGGAAGTCCAAGATCAGGGTGCCTCCTACAGCTGCACATGGCAGACCTGGGGCAAGGGAGCGCCTGTGCACTTCTCTTGGGCACTCAACCCATTCACAGGTGGAACCCTCATTTCAGAGGCCTCACCTCTTAATGCTGTCATAATGAGCGTTAGGTTCCAACATAACAACCTCAGGGGAGATCAACACTCAGACCCCAGCAGCCTCTTTTTTTTTTGATACCCAGGATTGAACCCAGGGGCGCTTGACTGAGCCACATCCCCAGCCCTATTTTGTATTTTATTTAGAGACAGGGTCTCACTGAGATGCTTAGTGCCTCTCCATTGCTGAGGCTGGCTTTGAACACATGATCCTCCTGCCTCAGCCTCCCGAGCTGATAGGATTTACCCAACAGCCTCTTTCTGTCTGAGTTTCCAGATGGGCTATTGAAGATGACAAGACAGCTCCCAGGGTGCCATTCTTGTGTGCAAGACCAGTGGACAAGGCAGTCTGGCCAGTCTCCAGGTTGCTATGGCTGGCTGCCAGGTCCCCTTCACAGTGCCACTGTTGCCAGCTGACAAGGGAGGAAGCAGAACTCTGAGGTCCACTCAGGAACTGGGGGTGGGCTCAAGGGTCAAGAGTATGGACATGGAGTCCCTTGAGAACACTGGGCTCTTGACATGGCTGCTGTAGCCACCTGGAAGACAAGGTGGAGTGGTCGGGGATCAGCAGGTCATGGGAGGCAGATGCTCACTCCACAGGTCTCCCTGAGCAGGACACTGGTTCCCAGGGCCAGAGGTCCTCTTCCTGCTGGAGCAGGAGGCCAAGCTGTGGGCAGTGGACTCTGGAGATCCCCAAGGCATGTGCCCAGGTGAGACAGAGCCTTGCAGGGCCTGTCCACCTGCACCTCCAGGTTTCTCTCTCTCTCTCTGCTTTCTAGTTCTGCACAGTAGATCGGCTGCTCTCCAAGTGAACACCCACCCAGCACTCCTGGCCATGAGACTGAGTTGCCACCGTCAGGGCACCTACAGTCTGGGGGAGGGGCAGACAGTACAGCGGTGACAGCAGTGTGAGATGACTACAGGTTGTGCGAGTGCCCAGAAATGAAAGCAGGAAGGCAGTGGGAGGACAGCAGGAGGATGGACAGCTTCAGGGAGGGGTGGGAGCCAGAGCCTGGGCTAGACATCTGAGCGAGCAGCATTCCAGGCAGAGGAACCCAAGTGACACATCAGACAGCTCTGTGTGATGTCAGTTTAAACCAGTGTCCTTTATTGGCTGGTCAAGGGCCCAGCACTGCCTGGGTCATTCTGCTCTTTGTCCTTTTGCTCTGCTTCTGGGTTCAGCGAGCAGTGTGCAGGAGGTGGGTGTGTCCAGGCCCTATCTGAAGAGTGGCTTGTCACCAAGTTCTGAGAGGCTTGGCCAGTGTGGGAGGGTCACAGAAGGGTCCTCCAGCCTCAGAGCAGCCAGCTCTCGCCCAGCGTAGCTTCCTGTTGCTGCTGTAACAAATCACCATGAACTTGGTGGCTGAAAGCAGAGCAGATTCTCACACAGCTCTCGCTGGCCCTGATGGAGCGCACGGGGCGTGTTCTTGGGGCTGCTGGGAGGAATTCTTTTTTGCCTTTTCCAGCCCCTAGAGGCCACCTGCATTCCCTGGCACAAGGCCAGGTACATAGAGTTGGCAGAGGCTGGTTTCTCCATCCCTTGGTTCCTCCTTGCCTGGGGGTTAGGATGTGGACATCCTGGGATCCGTTATTCAACTAGCCACACACAGCCTTGCCTTTTTTTTTTTTAAGTTTCACTGGAGCATAACATAGTATGGGGAAGGTGCCCACCTCACACCTCTAGCCAGTCTGAGAGCCATGGCTGTGGGGGAGGGCAGGGCACCAGAGCAGGACAGGGGTACACTGCTTCATCGGCTGAGGCCCTGTGGTTATTGAGGTGGGCAGATGCCCTGCCTTTGAGGATCCCACTTAGTGAGACAGATAAGCCAGGTCCAAGCGCTCCACTGCACCGAGGTCACACATCTGTCCTCCCAGTGTCGGCTGTGTCTGGTTTGGGGGCCTGCCGAGTTCCTTCATGTCTGAGCTGAGCTGTGGAGGAGACACCAGATGGGTATTGTGGTGGAAGGTGTCTGGGGTCCTTCCCATGTGGCACTGTGGGAGCTGCGTAGCTGGCTGCCTTCACTGCTCTGGCCATCACTGCTCGGGAGCCTGGTGCCTCTGGGAGTAGCCCCTGAGCACTGTCTCCTTGGCCGCCTTTCCCCACCCCTCTTCCTGTTCCTCTCCTGGTTTGCACAACATGAAAAACTTTTTGTACCTCAGAATTTTCAAGACCAGTTTAATTCTGCTCTCTCCCTAAATACTACAAACTCTTTCCCCCTAGAAAGGGATCAAGGGAGATTTCCACTTTTTTGTTTCTTCTAGACTTAGAAACCAGACAAGAAATCAGCCCTTCTGCCCCAAAGGAAAGCACCCCAGAAGAGCTGTGCAGCAGTGTTGTTCTGGTGCAGACTCCTGTGGGGTAGTGTGTGGCCCTTCCAGGGGAGGACACCGCAGGTCCCTGGGAGTGGAGTCCTGAGAGGCGCGAGCCGGGAGACGTGGCAGCCCTCAAGCCTGGGCAGGAGCAGTGGGGGAATGGGTCTGGGGGAGCCTTGAGTCCTAGCCCTGATCTCCCAGCTCATCCAGCGACTCCTGAACAGCCAGGTCCCCACACGTGGAGAACACCCAGAAAGAGGCAGAAGCTGGACTCAAAGGTAAATGCACAACAGAAAATCCTTGCAAAAGAGAAACTGCAGATGCCGGGAATGTGAAGAGCCTGGCCAGTGTCGCCGGTGTGGAAAAGGCTTCCGGAACAGCTCTGCGCTCACCAAGCACTGCAGGGTCCCCCCCGGGAAGAAGCCCTATCGGTGCCCTCGGTGTGGCCGGACCTTCAACCAGATGGCCCCGCTGACCCAGCACAGGAGGACGCACGGGGCGCCAAGCCCCACGCGTGCGGGGACCGTGGGAAGGCTTCGGTTTCAGCCGGTCCCTGTCCCAGCACCAGCGAGAGGCTCCTCCCGGACCCAGCGCCAGCGCGCGCACTCGGGCCACAAGCCCTACGCCTGCCGCAAGTGCGGCAAGACCTTCAGCCGGGCCACCCAACGTGTCCAGCACCAGGGGGTCCACCGCGGGAGAGGCCGACGAATGCAGCCAGTGCGGGCGGCAGCGCCTTCAGCCAGGGCCACCGTCTCGGCGGGCACCGCAGGACCCGCCGGGGGGAAGCCCGAGGCGTGCTGCGGCCACCTCCTCCCCGGAGAAGCCCTGCGCCTGCGGGGACTGAGGGAAGGCCTTCGCCCACAGCTCCTCCCCGACCCAGCACCCAGAACCCTCACTGGGGAGACGGCTGCATGGGTGCTGGGGACAGGGGAGCCCTGAAGCCACAGCTCGTCCCACTCAGACTCGGCCTGTTCCTTCTCAAGGAAGATGCAGCACCCACCCCACGTTCTCAGACGGAAATGCCTAGCGCCACCAAGGTTCAGGTTCTAAACAGCAGGGAAAGGTGGAAACCGTCAACCTTGAGGACCCGAGCCTCGAGGAGAGAGAAACAAGGGATGTCTGGGCCTGGTGATGCCGCGCGCCCACGCGTTCAACAGACTGAACCCGAGATTCAAAGGCCTGAGAAATTCAACAGATACCTTTCAGGTAAGAAAACCAAATGAAGTCAGAATTTGCTGTTGTTTACATTATATTCTTTCTTAAAGGGATGTTTATGAATATTCAGGTTGACTCTGATAATCCTAAAGAACAGCAGCATGTTCCAAAAATGAGAATGGCATTTTTGTGGAATCCCTTGGATACTTGTCTTTGACAGTACAAAGCTGGTTTGTGTGTAAGTTGCTTGTTCTGGGTATGTAACAGCCGATCCCAGACACTTCTGATTCCATATGCCAATGTATCAGCATACTATAAACAGAATTTACATCCCTCATCTCGTTTTGCGATTTAATTTCTATGTGCAATGGGATTGAAAAGCTGTGTATGGGAAGACTTGAAACATAAAGCTGCTTCCATGGAATGTCTCAAGATTCTGAGAGGGCTTTGCTGCAGGACTCACAGGCATTAGAAATGCTGATATTACGAAAAGGGGAGGGTTTACTCCTTTGTTCAGCCATCATCTCATGCTCAGTGGCACTTCACATTGGTACTCTGTTTTGTTCTAAGATTTCTCTTTGAGGAAGTGTTCAAGTTAATCTTTTCTTGAAATGTGTCCTCATTGATTCTTCATCCTGGTATTCTACTCCCCCCACCCCATTCATTAAGTTTCTATTTTTATGTTTACTTTAAAAGCTCACAGTATTTCATTAAACCCTGGATCCACAAATAGCAGTATTCCTGACAACTACAACCATGACTGTTGCCTTCTTCATCAGAAATAGCCTCGGGCACGGTGACGCACACCTGTGATCCCAGTGACTCTGGAAGCTGATGCAGGATTATAAGTTCAAGATCAGCCTGGGCAACTTTAGCAAGACCCTGTCTGAAAATAAAAAAATAAAAAGGGCAGGGGATGTGGTTTACTAGTAAAGCACCCCTGGGTCCCCCAGTAATGGGGGGCGGGGGGAATAATTGCATTGTTTGGTTTGGATCCTGGGTGGTAATCAGTTGTGCTTGCATCAGTCTCATTTCCTCAATCACTGCGCTAGCATATAAATTCCTAGTGAACTTGAAATTGCTTCTGGGGGAAAATGTTGCAAGTAGTCTTTCAACACTGCTCCTTGTGAAAAGCCTTTTGGGAATTAATTTCACTTTCCTTGTAGTTGTTTGCAGTGCTGGGGGTGGAACCCAAGACTTCATGAATATTAAACAAGGACTCTACCGGTGGGCTGCATGCATCCCCAGTCCTTCACTGTCCTTTAAAAGCTGCAAAAGACTGCCAACAGAACCACTGCAAGCTATCTGGGTAACCGTATTAAAATATTCTGGTCCCATTCCAAAAGCAAGAAGTGGGCACAATGTGCACACCTGTAATTCCAGTTACTGAGGCGGCTGAGGCAGGGCGATCAAAGTTTGTGACCAGCTTTGGCAACTTGATAAGACTGTCTCAAAAATTAATCAAAGGGTTGAGGATGTAGCTCTGTGATAGAGCACCCCTGGGTTCCATCAAAAAAAGAAAAATAGAAATAGATAAAATTAGCTCAATATGTACCCCCTACATGCACCACATTCCCATTCTGACGTGTCAGTATTAAAACACTGAGATACTTTACTTCTCTAGTGTGTACTTATACTCAGTGCCTCCGAGTTCACTAGCCACACTTCAGGTGCTCCCTTCACATGTGGCTGGCCAGTGGCAGCATGGTGACTTAGGACCTCTGGTCAGCTTCTTGACCTTCCCTTTGTGATGGGAAGCCTTGCTTTCTCTGAGTTGATTAGTACCTCGATAAGTTGCTGAGGCTGGCCATCTTCCTGCCTCAGCCTCCCGAGGGACTGGGGTTACAGGTGTGCGTGGGCCCGTCTTCAAAGAAGGCAGATGTGCTGGGTGTGTTGGTGCTCAGGAGACTGAGGCAGAAGGATCATGAATTCAAAGCCAGCCTCAGCAAGGCTGAGTGGCAATGAGGGTTGGAAGAGTCTATTTAGGCTTTTTTTATTGCCAGAACCACACTTGGTTTGAGGACAGGCAGAGGGGAATGTGGCTCCGTAACTGGTAGAGATGGGTACCTGGGCCCTTACGAGTGAGGGGCCCACAGTCTCATTTCCCTTCAAGGACTGGAGAGCGGAAGCGGATCCCTGGGTTACAGCAAGAAGCAGGGGCCCCTCCCACCAACACACACAGGCAACAGTCAGGATGTCCAGCTGTAATGTGAGTGAAGAAATAAATACTTTATTACGTCAAGCCTGTGACTCGGGGGTTGTTACACAATTGCTGGCTCAAACACAGTGACAGAAAGAGGCACCGTTTATCTACAGGAGCAATTAAATTTATGCTCAGGCAACAGAAACAATACTATAATCTGAGATTAAATGCAAAATCAAGACACCTCACGGAGCCCAAGGAGTTAAGTTCCCTTTGCTCAGGCAGACAGAAGCTTCCTCAACCTTTGTTAGTGTTTCCAACCTACTGCAATCACCCCCTGGTAAGAGACATCCTACATAGAAGCCAGTTCTCACATTTAGATACACAGCTGGAACTCCACAAAATGATACTGCCTTCACTACGTGATGCATTCTGACCTACTTTATTCTACTTCATTGCTTGGTAATGCCGTTGGCCACCCACTAGTTTGATTTCACAATTCACTGATGGGCTGGAACCCATAGTCAGAAAACTGCATACTAGGCTCCAAGCATTTCGGTGATCTTCGTCAGCCACTCCGTATAGGTAAAGACGCATGAGTGGAACAAGGAAATAGTTTCAGCTTTTCAGGATTCAAAAGTGAACTTGACGTCACATATTTACGAAAGGCCAGAACATCTGGCAAGAATTCTGCCTGAACAAACTTGGGGAGCTCAAACAGGAGCCGTGGAAGTGAAGACTCCAAGACTGCCCACAGAACACGCACACCGGGGACTCGAACTGCACAATGGCCACGGCCGGCACACGGAGGTATAGACGTGGCTGCAGGACAGTGGGGTCAGGGTTTCCCGTGGTGGATGAGGTGGGGTTTTCCGTGGGTGCTCTGGCCACATCAGCCCATTTGGGAAGCAAGCTGATGTTTGTCCAAAGACCACAGGAAGACCACCCCCAAGTGTCTGGAAGGAGCCCCCATACATTCTGAGATTCCCAGCGAGTCACTGTCACCTCAAGGGACATTGGCCTGGTGGCTTGTCTCCAGGCCTCAGGCCCACCCTCCCCCCAGAGTGAACTCACTGTGGCAGGGCGGGGCCAGGTGCAGAATGGCTCCTGGGGATTCCAGTGCTGGCCGGCAGGGCCTGTCTAGCAGCCCTGGCAGGCGCACAGCTTCTTGCTGCCGTGGCTCCTGTGATGCTCCATGAGGTGCGAGATCCACGCAAAGGCCTCCCCACACTCACTGCAGGGGTAGGGCTTCCCTCCCGACACTCCAGGCTCCTCGGCCTCAGGACTGCCTGAGGCCGAGGTGCCTGCGTCCTGCCCAGCTAGGGGCGTGGCAGCACGGCCATCTGCCTCAGGCTGCATGGCGTCCCCAGGCTGCTGGCTGCTCTGGCTGGAGGCACACTCGGGTCCCTGCTCACCCTCATCCTCTGGGTGGGGCCGCTTGGTCCCAGAGCCTTGCTGTGGGCTGTCTGGACTCGCCTGGCCCTGGTCTTCTTCTGAAGGGCAGGGGACTCTTTGCTTCTGGGAGGGGCTGACGCAGCCTGAATCCTCACCCACAGTGTCTGGCGCCTTCTCGGGCTGCTCCTCCTCCTGGTTGGTATCCATTGGGGGGTCTGCAGGAGTGTCCCCTGCGTCCCCTGCCAGCCTCTCTGATGGCGTTTCCTGTGAGCCACTGTCCTGGCCTGCGGAGCCCTCCTCGCACATGTTCTCTGTGCTTTCTTCCTGCTTCCCGCTGCCTGAAATAAGGTCCACGTGTGAGCAGCCCTGACTAAGCGCTCAGGCCTGGACACTGCCCACGCAGCACTAAGGAAAGAAGGCCTGAGCAAGGAGGGGAAAGGGTGTGGGACACGAGGCCGTGACCTGGCGGCCTCTGTCACCCTCTTCCAGCTCCCTGCTACCTGAAAGAAATGGCCCCTCCTAGCAGCCAAGGGCCGTGTGACCACCAGCATAAGCAGGCAGTGAGCAGGGCCTTCTCCACCCTGCTGCTGGGGAAGTGACCCCAGGAGCAGCCACCCTGACTGCAGGAGGACTGGCATGGAGGCCACACAGCCGTGGTGTCGGGGAATGAGGGCCAGAAAGCCCTGCAAAAGCCCACTGGCTGCACGGGGCCTAAACTCCTGCCCCAGAGCCAGACCTCTGGGCTCTCCACACGGCCGTGGCCTTGTGCCCAGGGACATCAGCATGCAGGAGGCCAGCAGAGCCTCAACAAGTGCTTATACTCCTCGAGTGCACCCCCAAAACCCAGCTGCTGACCTGGGGAGGCCCGGCTAGCACTGGGAGAGACCATGGAGAGTCTCCCCAGGTAGGGAGACTCCAGCCCCAGATAGGTTCCACAGAGGTCCATGCGGCCCTGAAGACCAAGTGGCCACAGCACAGCTCAGCCCAGCAGCCCACACCTCACAAGTAATTCTGCTGTTCTTTCTGGTGACCAAGTTTTAGGGCGGTTGTCACGCAGCAAGAGATCCCTAAGAAATGATGCCTGCTTCCTGCTCCAACACAGGTGAAGCCAAAGCTGGGGGGGTGGGGGAGGGCACCTGCCTGAAAGCAAGGTGCATGCTCTACCCTGCTCACCACTTTCTAAGGTGCCCTTACCTGGGAGGCTGCCTCCAGGTGCCTCTCCTTCCACAAGGGGCTGCTCCTCTGCCTCCAGACTAGATGCAGCATCAGGCTGGGCAAACTGGTACCCTGAGGTTCAACAGACAAAGCAGCTCTTAAGAGGACCAACACAGAAAGCAGCCCGCCCCACTCCCCTAGGCTGGCGGGCAGGACCAAGCCCCTGGAAAGCTAGGGTTCCAAGAATAAGGCAGGCGGAGGAAGAAGAGGCTGTGCCTGGGCGAGGCTGGAGGGCCCACAAGCTGGGTGGTAAACGAGTCTGAGGGGAAGCAAATCAAACATGTAGGAACATAAAACTGGCTGGGGGCGTCGCTCAGCCGTGGAGCATGTGTTTACTGTGCAGGAAGCCCCGGGCCAGCCCCCAGCACAAATGAAAAAACAGAATCAGAACCACAAAGGGCTCAGGAAGCCCCCTGCAGAGGAGGGCTCTGTGGCACCAACTTTTACCAAACAGACCCTTCACCAGGCCCACAGGCTGAGAAGCCTCATCTCTGCACCACAAAGTGGGGAGCACTGGCGGTTGGAAGCTGGGAGAGCTTTCTCAATTCAGAGGCTTGCAATCCCGCAGGAACCCAGGACCCAGGCAGAACTCAGGCAAGGGTGGGACCTTGGCAAACCAGCCCAAGTTCAGACATTTAAAACATCCCCAGTGTCCCAAGGAAGCCCCCAGGATGGGGTCAGAATCTCCCACCCATCGGGGAGCGCGGGCTGTGGGAGGCGAGCCTCACCCCACAGGAGCAGCTTCCTGTAGCTCTTCATGTTCTCCTCTGCAGGATCCAGGTGGGCCCACTCCTCAGAGTGCAGAGGTTCCTCCGGAAAGGACGGCTGAAACAGAAAGGCAAGGCGGCCCTCACTGAGGCTTCCACCCAACCCCACGGAGGGCAGGCGGGAGACCCTCCCTGCACTGCAGGAGCAACGCCCTCCTGTGGGTCCTACCCTCAGGTCTCCACCAAAGCAGGCTTCCTGGCCTTGGCAGTGGGCATTCAGGGTCCTAATCCTTGCTGTGGGAGAGTTCATGCCCTGGGAGGGAACAGCATCCAGGGCCAGGAGGGACGGACCCTGTGAGCAGGTCAGCCCCAGCACACCCAAGGGCCCCCACCCACCGTCGGCTGCGCTTTGGCCTCGTCGGTCTTCTCTCCCCCGTTGCTCCCCTGATCCAGGAGCATGGGTTCCAGCGCAGGCCAGGCTGGGAGAAGGCAGGGCAGCGCTGCAGGGAGACATGCTGTCACTGCACGACTCAGAGTGGCCAGGCAGACCTGCGGCCCCCTCACAGGTCCCAGCACACTCACACCACGCAGGCCTGCACCTCACGGGGCAGAGCCACCACAAAAGTGCCAGCTCACGCCATGGAGGAGGCAGTGCCTTCTGCTGCCCTCCAGACGGGCAGGGACCTGGCACGGTACCAGCGCAGGGCCGACGGGCAGGGCAGGCACAGCCTGTGCACCAGAGCAGCTGTGGAGACCACACAGGCACTATCTGCAGTTCCTTGCCCCGAGGGCAGGGTCACCGGGCTGCACAGGGGGTGCCAGGCAGCCAAGGAGCCAGCGACCACAGCCCAGGGAGGACCGCCCCATGAGCAGTGAGCACTGTTTTCCAGGAGACAAGCAGCCGACTCTGCAAGCATGCGCAACGTGCAGAAAGGCGGGCAGCCACACACCAGGATGCTATTTTTAGAGGGCATGAGGAGAGGGGATGTAACTTTTTTTTGGTACTAGGGATTGAACCCAGGGGCACTTTACCACTGAGCCACCTCCCCAACCCTTTTCATATTTTATTTTTTTTTAATATTTAATTTTTAGTTTTAGGCAGACACAATGCCTTTATTTTATTTTTATGTGGTGCCGAGAATCACACATGCTAGGCGAGCGCTCTACCACTTGAGCCACATCCCCAGCCCTCATATTTTATTGTGAGACAGGGTCTTGCCAAGTTGCTCAGGGCCTTGCTAAGTCACTGAGGCTGTCCTCAAATTTGTGAACTTCCTTCCTCAGCCTCCTGAGCCACTGAGACTACAGGTGTGTGCCACTGCACCCTGCAAGAGATTACTTTTTTTCTTCATACATCAATGTTTCTTCATCATGTGATAAACATGTATAACTGCTATTTTTTAAGGGGACTCTTAACTCAAAAGTAATACACTCATGTCATAATAATGTACAGGACCAAGTCCCATTTGCATAATGGACTTCGAGACCCCCCTCCCTGGCCTCCCTCTGGCTCCCACACTGCCTCCGCAGCGCACCCACCTCCCCATCTCAGGCCCAGCTGGTCACTCACGAGTATCAGGTGGCACTGGGATATCCTCAGGGTCTCTGGGGCTCCCTAGTCCTCCTGGTAACAGCAGGGGGTCAGGGTGCCTCTCATACACTCCCTCACTCAACCCAGAAGATGATCCAGCTGGGGAACACAACAGCATCCCTGTTTACAACCAAGGAACAGTAAAAGGTTAGGACACAAGCTCACCATCACAGAGTCTGGAGAGGGCCAGGCAGGGACCCAGGGTTCTGACCCCAAGCCCATGGGCTCCTGCCCCATCACCACCCATCCATCCCTCAGAACTGCAGAGATGAAATCTCCAGCCAGTGACCCAGAATCTTCACCCAGTTTTTATGAGGCTGGTCACTGCCTTTGCCCTTCATTTCTCCTGCTTCCTAACATCTGCAAAGCAGAAGTGAGGGCAGGAGCCCAAGCAGCTGTCCCAGCCTGTGAGGCAACCCTGATGGAAATGGCAATGGGTAGGACAGCAGGAACTTGGATCCCTGCTGACTGAGAAACAGCCTCTCTGACTCAGGGCTGCTTCCTCCCGTGCCTCCTACACGTGGGGAAACAATTTTCTCTGCAAAGCCGTAGCCGGGGATTCCAGCCCTTCCCAGACCCTGCTCCCCATTTCCTCTAAGACACGTTCTTCCAGGGCGGCAGCCTCACCTGGCTCCTCCAGGACGTCCGTGAGGCCCTCCACCAGAGAGGCTGCCTTCTTACAGCTCTCGGGGTACTGGGCTACCACCCAGGGGCGGACCCTGTCAGGCAGGATGCCCAGGAACTGCTCCAGCACCAGCATCTCGAGTATCTGCTCCTTGGAGCAGGCCTCAGGGCGCAGCCACTGGCGACACAGCTCGTGCAGCCTGGCCAGGGTCTGGTGGGGACCAGCCGCCTCCTGGTAGACAAACTCCCGGAACCGCAGGCGAGAGAACTCGAGGTCCGCAGGGGTCCTCTCAGGGATGGTCTCAGACTCGGGGTCCTCTTGCTGACTCGTGTCTGCAGACCCTTCTGTGTCTGCAGACCCTTCGGTGGGCACCTCTGGGGGAGTTGGGGAGCTTCTGGGGGAGGCCAACACCTTCTCCAGAGGCAGCATCTTCCCAAACCTGCACTGGAAATATGACTGTGTGGAGCCAAGGGCTCAAAGATGCCAGGGGTGAGGGGCCCAAGGAAAGGTTGACTGCCTCTAGCAGAGGACACACAGTGGTGCCAGGGTCCCCAGGGAGTCAGCCAGTGACAGGATCCAAGGACCTGCAGAGGACAGCGGTGAGACAGATGCCCACATGGTAAGAACACAGCTGTAGGGACCTCAACAAACAACAACAAAGCCAAGGTCTCAGGGCACAACCACAGGCCCACCACACCCAGGTCTCATGCAGTTATTTACACGCAGTCTGCTTGTTAAACATCAGCTGAACTCCAGTTTATACGCAGTCTGCTTGTTAAACATCAGCTGAACTCCAGTTTTGTACTTATTAAAAATTATTGGACAACCTCAATTATAAACCTAGATATAAAAAAGCCTGAACACATCATTCATTCCCACTGTGCGTATCATATACACGATGTCAGTCTCATGGCATCAGATTTGAACTGCCAGGCCTGTTTCACATTTAACAACATGTATTATGTATGAGCCAGGCACTGGAGTGCACACCAGTGTCCTCAGCCCCGGCAACTTAAGAGAGACTCAGCAAACTGGTAATATTCCTTGTCTCAAAATAACACATAAAAAGTTCTGGGATACAGCTCAGAGGTAAAGTGCTTGCCCAGTATTTACTTTTTAATCCCCAGTACAGGGGGATGGGGAGAAGCATTACAGGGCTTTAGTTCCCAATAAGATGGGAGGATAGGTGTTGGGATTTCTATCATTAAAACAACTAAAAACCTGAAACAAAAGGCATTTAGAAAGACAGTAGGCACAGGCAGCCCACATCCGTCTGGAGGTGGACAGCTCTGCAGATTTAGAGTACAAGGTGGGAGTCATCAGAGGTTGGCTAGGAGTGGGGATGGCAGGGCATGAAGGACAAGAGGAGGCTCTGGTCCTAGCCAACTTTCCTCAACCCCTTAACTCCTAGGCACAGAGGGGCCAGAATCCAGGATGTCTGGGTGAAACCACTTCATGGTACCTGCTGGCCAACAATGGCCAAGCTAACAGACACGGGCAGGCCATAGTTCGCCTGCATCTGCATGTCCTCCCAGGACCTGGGCCTGAAGATCTGAGCCAGCAGGAGGAAGAACTCCCAGACACCACCACGAGGAGCAAATAAGAAGCCATCTACCAGAAGACAGTTGCCCTTGGAACCACAGAAACAATCACATCTTTTGAGGAATTCAAGAGAAAACTGTGCATGGGGACTGCTGGGGACTGAGGCTGCTGACCTCTGCCAAGTCAAGTCAGATCTGTCCAATACACTTTCCCACGAGCATGCAGGCCCGAGGGTCTCGTGGGCAGGCTGGGGGTGCTCAATTCTACTGAGAGCATCTGTCCAGCACAGGTGAATGCAGAGACAGGAAGTGGATCAGTGATTTCTGGGGACTGTGATTTTCAAGGTAGGAAACGACTGTTAATGGTTATAGGATTTCTTTCTTGGGTGATAAAAATGTACTGAAATTAACTGGTAACAGGCACACAACTCTGTGAATCACTAAAAACCAATCAATGGTCCACTTTAAAGAGGTGAACTTTATGGTACATAAATTATACCTCAATAAAGTTGTTTTAAAAAAAGAAAAGCTAGGCACAGTGCTTGCACACCTGTAATCCCAGCTACTCAGGAGGCTTAGGCAGGAGGACCTCAAGTTTGAGGCCAGCCAGGCAACTCTCATGCCTCAAAATTAAAAAAAAAAAAAAAGGTCTGGGGATGTAGTGCACTGGTACTGGTAGAGCACTTGTCTAGAATGTGTGAGCCTCAATTCCATCCCCAGCATTTTGTAGCTAGCAAAATAGCATTTACAAATAAGGGCAGAATTCTAAGAGCTATAAGACATTCTACACATGTTCCATTTCTCTCCGGAAAAAAGACCCTCACCACCAGAACCACCATCACCATGATCTCCATAACCACCACCTCCACCACCACCTGGATCGCCATCCTGGCCACCACTGTACACACCCTCCATGGCAGTGTCCACCAGGTGTCCTTCCTTGGGCCCCTTTCCCCTGCCTGCTGCACTGAGGGCCCTCAGAACACATCACCCACTTCACAGCTCAGCACTTTCTAGAACACCCTCATCCCTATGGGTGGGTAAACTACCGCCTTTTCCATTCTCCTTACTGCTCTTCTGTTAGATAATTCACAAGCTGTCTGCCTCCATCCTGCCATTGTCCCCACCTGCGACTCTTCTTTTCAGTCTCTGACCACACGTTATGTTCTAATGTTTCTTACCAATCCAATTTCTTTAAAAAAAAAAAAGGGCTGGGGATGTGGCTCAAGCGGTAGCGCGCTCGCCTGGCATGCGTGCGGCCCGGGTTGGATCCTCAGCACCACATACAAACAGAGATGTTGTGTCCGCTGAAAACTAAAAAATAAATATTAAAATTCTCTCTCTCTCTCTTTAAAAAAATAAATAAACCTTGCTTGAACATTTGAAAAAAAGAAAAATTCTGAGGGCTGGGCTTGTGGCTCAGTGGTAGAGCACCTGCTCATGTGAGGCCCTGGTCCAATCCTCAGCACCACATTAAAAAATTGATTAATTAATTAAAGGTATTGTGTCCATCTAAAACTAAAAACAAAATCTAAATTTCTGAGCTCAGAAACTTGCTTAACCCATTTCTTCCCATTGTCCTGGACGTGCAACACCTATAAAAACTTAAATGTAGCATATAATCATAATTATAACATTAATTAAAATAACATAAGCTCTAGATTACAAATGTCAACCTATTTTAAATCACCTGTGTGAAGTCGCTGAAATATTTACAGAACTGAAAACTAGGAGTTAGTGGGTTAAAAGGGTTTCCTTCTCTACCTCAGGGTTAGAAATGAACTTTCATTCATTCTCCTGGGGCAGCTGGCTGGAGCAAAGGGTCCGAGAGGCCAAGGGTGGGCGGCTAAGCTGAGGGGTCCTAAGCCTGGAGGCCTGCCAGAGCCCTGGGCTGCCCAGGGACCCCAGGTGCCTCCCAGAACTTCCAGCACTTAAGGATCCTCACCACAGGCCCTCTATCCTGCCTCCCTCAGCAGCTCCATCTGGCAAGCCCTGCCCCCATTCCTCCTCAGGGCCCTGTAAACAAAATGCCCCTTTAACACCTTTACCAGAGTCACAGCCACAGGGCTAAGGGTCATGGAAAAAGAGACTCACTGAGTCTCTCCCTGGACTCACCCACAGATGACTTATACATTGTAAAAAGGGGAAATGTACCTTTAAAAGAATTAAATGCACATGCAGGAAGGGATCACCGGAGCATCTCCACTGCCTTCTGTGGTTCCTGCCAAGAACATACTTTCTCTGGCAGGTCACACAGAAGCGAGAATATTGCACAACTGGTCTGGGTCCCCGTGAGCCTCAAGGTCAGAAATACCAAGGCAGCTACACAGCCAAGGATCATAAGGAGATGGATTCAGTGCAACAGGGGTTCTGTTCTGGCTGCAGAGCTGTGACAGGAATGTCCACAGGGCATGTCAGGATAGGAGAGGACAGAGGTCCAGTTCAAGTTGCTGTGAGATCCGATCTGATCTCCAAGAAGTCCTCCCCAATGCAGGCAATGTAAGGAGGGGAGGTATCAGAGAAAACAGACACACAAAGGAGGCAGGAAGGAGAGTAAGAGGTGAGGATAAAGAACAAAATACTCCCAGGTGCATCTGGGCAAAAAAAAAAAAAAAAATGCAAGGAGAGTTCTACAACCTTTACTTAGAATTTTCCTATGAAACTTTGTAAGACTTAAAAGAAAACAAAACAAAACCAAGTCTCAGTGGTGCCTGGCAGCCCCTGCTGCCCCTTCAGGGGTAGCATCTGGAAGACGGATGCTCTCCATTCCACCCCCAAGCCCCTAGATTAATGCTGAGACTGGGAACCTTCTTTCCCAAAAAAGGGGTCCCTGGCACCTATAAAGAGAACCCACCTGAGGAGGCTGGGGAGAAGCTGGTATCTGGCTGCCTCCGAGTCACTGCCCTGCCCCTCGCAGGGCAGAAACCACCCCAGAGCAGCTAGCATTTACCCTGGGGTACAAGGGATACCCCAGAACTCTGCGACCTTTCCCCACTCCCACCAGGAGTGCACAGCCTGCCTTCCCCTCAACGAGGTGCACCCTCAGCCCTGCTTCTCGCAGACACCCGGGACAGGACAGCCAGGCCCTCCAGCTCCATACTCCCCAATGTTCAACCTGGCCTCTCCTAGCCGGCTCTGTTCTCCCATAAAAAGTGGGGTACTCTCGACGTTAACCAATGCCAACACCCAACATGAGTGGCTCTGGCCTCTCATCCGCCCAAGTACCTCAGTCTGCACCTTCTCTGAGACACACTCAGGAACCCAGGGCCCCAGGTCGCCCTCCCACCAGGGCCCGACCCCAAATTCTGGGGTCGCGCTTGCACCCAAAGGCCCCGCTCTTCCACCCCGGCCCCAACCTCTGGGGATCAAGCTCCCACCGAGAACCCCGGCCCTCCGTGCCGGCCCCAACCTCGGGGCTCAAGCTCCTACCCGAGGGCCCCCGGCCCCGGCCCCACGCTCGGCGATCGCGCTCCCACCGAGGGCCCCGCTCCCACCGAGGACTCCCGCCCTGGAAACCACGCTCGGGGGTCGCGCTCTCACCCGAAGGCCCCCCTCTCCCGCCCCAGCCCCAAGTCCGGGGGTCACGTTCCCACCGAGGGCCTCCGCCCCCACCCCAAGCTCGGGGGGGCGCTCGCACCGGAGGGCCCCCGCCCACCCCGGCACCAAGCTCGAGGCCACGCTCCCACCCGAGGGCTCCCGTCCTCCCGCCTCGGCCCCAGGCTCCGGGGTCACGCCCCAACAGAGGGCCCCTGCCCGCCCGCCCACCCCAGCACCACGCTCGGGGCCTCGCTCCCACCTGAGGGCCCACACACGCCCTCGAGGCGCTCTTAGGCCCTTGCCGCTCGGGTTAGCGCCCAGTCCCCTCCCCACGGCGCAGCACTTGGGCCCTACGTTTACAGAAGGCTCCGGAGAGCGCCGCCACTTAGCCGGACCCACCTGCTGCGCAGCGAATCCAGGCGGGCCCAAGCGGCCGGAGCAGAGCACCGCGATGGCGGCCGCTGATCCGCGCGTGCGCGCGGGGCCACGCATCGGACTACGACCCCCAGAATGCTGTGGGCCGGTCCTCGCGGGCGGGGCGGGGCCGCTGACAGGAGCCAGCCAATCAGGATAGGGCTCCCCTGCGTCGTTCCCAATTGCACCTTCGTCACTTCGATACCATGGCAACCGGTAAACAAACGCCTATAGAAAAGCGCCCCGACCCCCCGAAAAGTGAGAGGCGGAGACAAAAGACTGGCAAAGAGAGACAGAAAAACCAGAGACTGGAGAGTGTCCGCCACCAGAAGAGCCTGGGTGACACACGCAGAGAAGGGACCAAGAGTCCTAGAGCCAGGGATGACACACATAGGGACAAAGAAGTAGAGAGGAGACTTTTTTGAATTCAGTTGAGAAGTTTAACTCTCATAACACAATCACGACAAAGATTAGTTCTACTGCCCCCTGGGCAGTTAATCAAACCTTCCCCACCCACATCCCCTGGCAGTAATGGATGTGTAGTCCCTGGTACAGGTTTCTCTCTACAGGATGTCATACAGATGTAACTAACAGTCTATGCCTTAAAAAAAAAAAAAAGAAAGAAAGAAAGAAAAAGAAAAAGAAAGAAAGAAAAGAAAAACCATTTTACTTGTAGGTGGGCATAATACTTTTTTTTTTTTTTTTAATGTGGTGCTGAGGATGGAACCCAGTGACTTGCATGCTATGTGAGCCATCTTTCCTCTGAGCCACAACCCCAGCCCCAGCCTCTTTTGCGTCTGGCTCTTTTCACTGAAGGTAATTAGCTTTAGATCTTCAGTGTGTATCAATAGTTTGTTCTTTTTTACTGTTAAGTATTATTCAATAGTATACAATAATTTTAAGCATTCCCTGGCTGAAAGGCATTGGGTTTTCAATATTTTGCTACTAGAAAATACACGGGGTTTTGTGTTCAGTTTGGGCGAGATAAATGCATAAGAATGCAACCTCTAGGTCGCATATAAGTACACCAGTATTGTTAAAAAAAAAGAAAAAAAGAAAAAATTCCCAAAGTAGCTGAACCATTTTACATTCCCACCACCAACATATGCATGACTCAGTTTCTCCACATTCTTACTGACATTTGGTGTTATCATTATTGTTCATTTTAGCCATTCTGTATGTAGTCATATCTCACTGTGGTTTTTGATTTACATTTCCCTAATGGCTAATGTTGAGTGTATTTTCTTGGTTATTTGTTATCTGTATATCCTCTTCAGTAAAATATCCGCTCAATTCCTTTTGCCTATTTTCTGATTTAAAAAAGAAAAAGCGGGGCTGGGATTGTGGCTCAGTGGTAGAGTGCTCACCTAGCACATGTGAGGCCCTGGGTTCGGTTCTCAGCACTGCATAAAAATAAATAAAGGTTATTGTGTCCAACTACAACTAAAAAATACATATTAAAAAAAGAAAAAGCATTTGAGGTATATTTACATATCTAAACATAAGTTCTTTACCAGCTACATTTTTTCAG